AAAGACAGCAACCAAAACCGGCGCTCGAATGTGCGTGGTTAATGGTTGTTTAAACTGAAAACTGAAACTGAAATATTCGAGCCTGGAATGTGTGTGTGCGGTCACTTATTTTGCTGCGATACCTTCGTTTGTCACACGACTGTTTATGTAAGACCTGTACTTGACCGCAGTCAATCCCTAACTGTTGAGTTTCAAGGCAGCAGTAGTCTACCCCCAGTTTCTTAGAGTCACTTGATACTTTATGAAGTAAATCATGTGTTTGCTTCAATTGGAGCCAATCACACCTTGTGGAGTTTTTTTGGATACCCTTTGGCAATGAACAACAGGTGATGTAGACCCAATAGTTACGTTTTTTCAGTTTGTACAACCATTAAACATGCACTTTCGTGCCCTCGGTTTTGGTTACTGTCTTTTGGCTGCCCATTTGAACGCGCAATAGGAGAAAGACAGGAAAGTTGAAGGTAGAGTCAAAGAGAAAATTGAGAACTCCAGTAAACTATGACTGCAAAGAAATGGAGAAAATGCACGAACGCCACTGTTTACGTCACTCAGTCAATTTGTGTCTCTAACCATCGGTTACGATCATCCCGAGGTCCCCAGCCAGGGAGCCTAACGAGACTTATGTGACCTTGTCTCCTGCACCTTGACGGGGCGTGATGGTTTGTGTGCCTCCATGGCCCTGCGAGCTACACAAGATGGCTTTTCACAGCCGCAGATCTAATCATGTCTGTAAGGTCAATGGGCAGAGGCCAGACGAAGCTCAGTTTCACAAGGACAGTTGCTTGTGCACCTCCCGGGTTCCTGTCCATCCACACCCGTCCCTGGATAGGTCATTCCAGCAAATAAACACGATGAGGGACAGTTTACCGGTCGAAAAAACCCATTAGATGTACGTAGGAGTGGGGTACCTGGAGCTTCCTCTCGACGGTGGGAGATGTCTTCGCACTTCACTGGACAGCTACCGCCCGCCCAAGCTAGGCAGCCCCCAGCCAATAAAGTGCTGCCTCGTTCACGTTCCGTTTGTCCCATTGGGTGCATAAGACTAATGGCCAATACCGAACAGCGGAACGATAATCAACGCAAAAGCGAACAATACACTGAACCGAAATCCAAAGGCCTTGCGTGATAAGTCTCTAGAAGTTCCCACACGGGTGCTTCGTCCACGCCCCCGCGTCTGATCTACGCCCCACTGCCCTGTGGGTCAGACTCCTGAGTCAAAGCCTCCTGTTAGGGTTCCCCAAGAAAAACCCCGTCGTCGGTGTGGGCTGCCGCGAAGTATGTGGTGCCCTAAATTCTTAGGCATCCATCCCAATTAGTCCCAGACGCCTTCTGTTTACGCCACCCGTTGAATCGTCACAGGTACCTACTATTCATTCATGACTCCCGGAAACCTGATACCTAGAACTGGTAGTGATGAGCCACGTTAGGCTCCAATCGGATTGGCGTTGTATTGAGCCGGATGAGTACAAAACTGTCTACCACCAAAGTTGTGGACCGTAACAGGCTTTGAACCTCAGGATCTGTGGCTCAAAGCGTACCAGTCACAACGACTGAAACCGCTTGATCAGCACATCCTAAACTATCGGTGTTGCTCAGCCCACGTCACGGTTAACCGAACTCGGACCCACAAGTGGTTGCAGGGGTGTGCGTGTGCGATGTAGTCCTAATTACGCTACTATCTTGTCTCAGTGTTCGTTGTCACTCATTGCATTCATGCTTCTCCTCTGCCCTATCTCATCCCCTCTGTCTTTCATCATTCACATTCTAGGGTGTTCTCGCGTATTGGGTCCACGTGGCCTACACGGCTGTGCGTCTTCTCACTCCGGGCACAATTCCAAACGATCCGAACAACTTCTCTGCCTACACGGACCCGTCCGCACACACCTATCACGGATTTACACGTGATGCGGACATGCTTGATCCGAATCAACCAGTTCAACTGGATTCCGACGCACCGGGTTTCGGTTACGGCAAACCAGGCAGTGGTGCCCCGGTACAATCGACCGGCGGAGTATTTACGGGCAATTTGGTTGATGCTTACCAACCGTGATCGAGACCACGTGTCCACTGTCCCATTCATTCAGAACTGAGTACTGAGTACCACCGCGCAGCCCCGAGTTCCCACATCAGTTCACTATTTGATCTTACCAGACCATCCTTTCCCCCGTCCCCTCCCCTCTCCTCCATCTGGGATACTTACGCTTCGTGTGCGAACACAATGGTTCCGTGTTCCTCATCCATTCTCGTGCATATTGGCGTGTTCTTTTTTCTTTCCGTTCGTGTCGATTGTTGATTCGTGCCATACACACACGCACACGCGCAAGCACTTCAATCTGTGGTGATTTCCCTGTCCAGTTTTGTCTTTGTCTCATTCTGCAATCAAGGCTTATACTATTGAGTTCTGTATCATATATATATATATATATATATATCTATCGTTTGTGCCTCATCCTCATTGTTCTGAATGGTGCTGTTGTTGTTGTTGTTGCGCGACAACGAAACCCACGCAAAGCGCGCACCCTAGATCGGGAACCATCAGACGATGCACAATGTGTGTACTAATTTTGATCTATCTTGTTGTTCGAATAATTGTGTTTGTTGGTACCAGTAGGTTGGCATTTCAATTTACTTTACGTTAATTTGCGTCTGGCTAACTTCCTGTGGAGGATAAGCTGACTTATCGAATGATCATCCAAAAGAGACCTCCCTGGGCGCCACTACTATTTGTTATTTCGAGAGCGTACTGGGTCAAACGTCTATGGGCGCCCAACTAAGTCGCGGACCACTACCAGAACCCCGGAATGAATGAATGTGATTCGTACCCGTCTTCTTGATTGGTTAGGAGTAAGGCTTTTTGATTAATTCCGCTAGGTGAATTACATATGTATGGTGGGAAAGCCCCTGGGCAACAAGAAAGCTGCGAATAGGATTTTTTCTGCCTAGACTTACTGAGACGCCTGGTCGTGTAAGAGCATTTAACGGGGTGGAAAAGATGGGTGATCAGTTACAATCCAAAATACTCACCTACGACCCTACTGCGACTTTCGGAGGATGTGAACTGGTAAGGCCAACCGTTTTTGCTGGTGGCTCACTGGGAGCTTGTTCGCCATTTCATTGATCCGGATTCCTCCCAGGAATCCATGCGTTTCTGTTAGTGTGACGGGCTTTTTATATGTCCATTAGGTCAGGCAGTAGATCTTGTTCGCTCATTCAAGATTTGTCGTCTTTGTGTGACACGTTACACGCGACATAGCTCAGTTTACTTGTTTGGTAGTTTACCGCTATCTTCTGATTCATACCGCAGTTTCTGGAAACCACTGGTAAGCGTTAGTCAAGTGATGACAACCAAAGAGGATGCTCTAGGTAGACGACCATCTACTCCTATCAAATGTCCCTTACTCCACCACCGTTTCTGTTTCTACTTTCGTGCTTCGTTTTCAACTACCGTCTTTCACCTACCCTTTGGATCGACAGATGAAGAAACGAGTCACAAACGAAAACTGGAATTTATGCGAAAATGAATACATAAAATGTGCTCAAGTACATATGGCTAATGACTAAACAGACAAGTATCACCATTGACAACAATAACCCACTGTTTAAGCTGATACCAAAGTCCCTAACTTTTGATATCAAACGTGTCCGGTGATATACTTGACATCTGACCTGTTCACTGTAATTTATGAAGATCGAGCACTTGAACAAGTTCGTGGTTGTTTACTTAAAACGCTCGCCTAATCTCCACCCAGCTTGTCCTGTTATCATCGTGATAGCACTGCGTCTTGACATGATACCTCTATGAACTATGTTAAATGGCTTCTCTAAGGCACAGATTCACTTTTCCATAGGTTCTTACTTGACCGAAATGATTTAGCTGTTGTCTTTAACCGAATATATATATATATATATATTTCACACGCGCCTCACGCCGGATTGTGTGCCAAACAAATGAAAACGTTCCACGATTTGCATGTAGGCTGAATACAGCCCGGTTGCCCAGGCCGAGACAGGTGAATTTTCTTAGGGAGTTAAAAACCGAAGCCTCTGGTTAGCCAAAGCCTGACCCGCAAGGCAGCAGGGCGGTGTGCGAAAACCGAAATCCATTGGGGGCCGGTGTCCAGTTCATCGAATCATACGCCCTTCGGACGGGGTCAAACGTCCAAGGTACCCAATACAGCTTGCTGCCCAATCCAGCTGGTGCCCACTGCCACAACCGGAAGTTGTGCATGTAGTTCGTACTCCTCGTTACGGTTGGTTTGGAATCAGGGTTTTTGGCCAACTCCCCTAGGTGAACTACCGGTAATCCACCAACCCGGTTCTAGTCCCGAATATCGGTTTTTCATCCTCTTAATTTGGTGGAATACACCTCCGCCACGAGAAAGCAGTGAATAGGGCTTCCTCAGCAGAGGCTACTTGAGACGCTTGGTCGTCAAGGAGCATTTCGCGAGATGCAAGGGAAGGGTGACCAGCCGCAACCCTAGACACCCACCCCCGACCATACATAGGCTTTTGAATGATCGAGTACAAAATACCTACTGGTACAAGTGCTTCCACGCTGGGCGCCATATGATGGATATCGACTGCCAAAATGCTGGACCTCGTCGGATTTGTTGTTTGTATTTCTCGCACACGGTTCTCCTGTATATGGAACAGTCAGTTGTCACCTTAGGAAAAACAGTCAACTCAAGCATTTTTAAACAACCGAATGAAATGCAAAGCTGCGCGACTGCATTATGCTTTAAACTGAAACAGTCCCATACTGCTTTTCCTCTCGGTCGTCCATTTGGCACACAGTTTCGGGCTAGGTGCGTATGAGTTCTCGAGATATGTTTTTAATTGTTATCATCATCCGTTTTATGAATCATCACCAACCACTAATCGTTGCCTAGCTTTCAACATTCAAAGTGAATACAAACGCGTGTGGGACCACATAGGAGAAGCACAAAAGAAGTAAACTTTTACGATCACCACATGGAGTTCACTGCCTGATTGTGTACTTGCACATCTTCAAGCATTTTGGCTTGATGCGGTATATCTGCTAGAAAGCCACACTGCTATCGGGTCCCTGTCACATCCTTCACTGTCTACAACCAACCGGTAAGACAATCACGCCGAGACTGCATCTTGACATGGTGTGATGGCTTGTGCACTTCTCTGACCCAACGAGCTACGCAGGATGGCTTTTGTCAAGCCAGGAGATCTTATCATGCCTGGAAGGTCAAAATGTAGAGTTCAGACAAAGATCGGTCTCTTGGTCCTCCAGGTTGTGGGGTTCGACTCGAATTGGCGTCTCAGTCGATAAAAAAATGGTGGAGGAGTAATCGATCCAAGTAAACGGGCCTCCACTACGCCTTACCCGCTGCATTGTAGTCAGGTTCTTGTCAGAACTAAAGGCTTTGGTTGAGAATCCTGATCGTTCTCCTACTGAGTGGCTGGACACCTTAGCAGTACCCGTCCATCAAACCTCAATATGTACACAAACAAAGAATAATTTCATATTGCATCGGTCGTCGCGCCGAATAATCAGGACCACGCTGTCCATTGTATCGGGCGGGGTAGATAGTGATAAGCGGGCTACTGCTCATACATCCCAACCTTTGTTTAATTCTTTGTCTGTTGCCCCTTCTTCTGACCTGTAATAGTCCCCGCAACAGCCTGTTTGTCGCTCACCAAAGGTCGTTGCCAAACAGCAGTATAAGTAATTTATCACGCAATAGATTGCAGATTATGAAGCCTCGTCAACGACTGAATCTTGGGGCCTTCATCGCGAGGACGCTGATGTAGGTAGGTCAACAAGCTTATCTGACGCGTACAATGGATTGCTTAGATATAGATATTTGCTGCATATCGGAGACTCGAATTCAAGATCCTACTACTATAAACCACTTGAGCTCGCCAGATCTGTCCTCGATGTACGCTCTTCCTACATCAAGCGACGATGAAGTCCGTGCAACAGGTCAGCGCGGTGAGGTATTGTACTCAGCGACAAGGCCTAGTCCTCTTATCGTTTGGATCCCCGGCAACAGTCGCGTATGTGCGATGTGGCTCCAATGGTCCACCAGCGTCTGGAAGGGTTTCAACACTAAAAGGTGTTTGTTCATCATTGCAACGTATGCACCGACCAGCTACAGTTCTGATATAAAAGGACGTTTTCTGAGATAAACTTGTCGAACTCATTCGGTTGAGTCCAAACTCCGATATAGTTGTGCTCCCAGGTAATTTTAACGAGCAGGTTGGAAAACTGAGCGCATCAGAAGCTTGCCTAGGCGGTAGTTGTACCCAGCCCTGCTGATCATTCCCATTTTAAAGAAGGGATCTCGCAATGATTACGAAATCCACGGCGGGATAACTTTGATCCCAATCATCACCTAAGTGTTAGCCTCCGTTATACTTGGACGTGTGGCTCCTCTAAAAGATCAACGTCCGTGAACAGCAAGCCAGATTCCGTCCTGGCCATGGATCAGATTTTTACGTTGCATCAGGTCCCTGAGCTGCGTCACACCCACCGTCGACCAACGATCACAATGTTCCTTGACCTACAAGGAACCTTAGACTCAGTTGACCACGAAGCCCAAAGGGGCTCCCTTCTTGAAAAAGGTATGCCCCAGAAGTACACTGACTGACTGAGATCACTGTTCTCACATACCCTTATTCGAATGAAGGTCTATAACGAAATAAGTAGGCCATTCGTCACCAGCAGCAGCGTTCGTCAAGAGTGCCCTGTTTCACCATTCCTGTTCAACTTCGTCGTAGGTATTGAATGGGCAATCTGAGAAAAGCTTCGCGATTTACAGTAAGCCGATGACATCGTCTGTCTGTTCGAATGTAAGGAGGACGAGTAAAGCGCACTTGATAAACTAACAAGGGTTGTTGCCACATTCGGTATGTGCTTTGCACCTTCGAAGTGCAAAGTGGTACTGACTGGGTGTCATCTAGTCCTGCTTTGAAATTAAATGGCCAAGAATTAGGTATAGTTGATTGTTTTTCCTACTTAGATAGTTATGTGACCAATGACGGTAGCGCAGCAACGGCGATAACCGCCCGCATTTCCAAGTCTCGTGCAGCGTATGCAGAACTGAAACACCTGTGG